ATTGCGCATGCACAGTCAGTTCTCTTGCAACAGTACTCATTGCTCATTCGCTTCACTACAGAGTAAACCCAATTTGTATCTCGCAGAATACTGTAGTGGATGAAGCAATCAGGTAGAGAATGCGGTGACTGGGAAAGGGTGCACTGACGTAGCACTTAACTAATATAATCGGTAACTAGGGACAGAGCTTCCAGTAGGGGGGTGGGGATGGGTCAGAGCTTCCGGCTGGAAAAGGTATTTGGTTCATACAACGATTTTTTTTGGGTAGCTTATGTGTTTATAATTGGGTTCATTCATTTGTTCGTTCATGCATCGCCAGCTTGAATGAGCGAATTCCCCCATATCGCCGCACCCAAAACCTTCGGTTCCCTACAATATCCTCCACAATCTTGGCTGGAGTTGGGGTCCTATTGTTTTTTTTCTTTTTTTAATACATTACCTGTTTAATTCCATTAGTTTCAATTGATATTATTTTATTATACTCGGGTCATATATGAACGCAGGATAGTATAAAGAAAATAATTCTAAAGTACAGAAAATATTAATTTATCGTTTTTTTTTTATTTGTCTAATACAGTATATGTTTTCCTTGAATTCATGCTTGTATATTTTTTCATTGAATTCATGCTTGTATATTTTTTCCTTGAATTTATACTTGTATATTTTTTCCTTGAATTCATGCTTGTATATTTTTTCCTTGAATTCATGCTTGTATATTTTTTCCTTGAATTCATGCTTGTATATTTTTTCCTTGAATTCATATCCTGGAGATGACTAAAGCCTAAAATGTCTAAATAATGGATGGCAACATCTAACAATCTTAGTACTATGCAAAGCGTGTGACATGTGGATACTGCAATGCTTGTCATATCAATTACGTCTATTTTACGACGGTTCCTCCATCCTTAAATTTGGAACTCCAATAGCACTGTTTCTGAGGGCATGTAAAACCGTGGGAACGTTTTAAACTTGATAATCACCATTTTTTTGGCTAAACTGAATGTAGTAACGCTGTTCGTAGTGTGTAATTCTACGACATGCGTCTACTACCCTGTTAATAAACGGCTTGTTTGACGAGGCAGCAAAAAATCTCACAGGCTTAGTACTGGTATTGCAGGTGCTATAGTTCTCGCCTATTACTAGTCATCGAGGAACAATAATCTGACTTTTTGTATAGACCTCGTATCCCAATTAATATTGTGTTGACTCTTCCAATGCTTTTTTATTAGTGGTAGAAACCGCACTATACACAAACTGGATTTATTGAAATGTGAAGTAGCAATTTCTTTATTTTACGTCTACCATATGTAAGACAAACCCTTTAATGAATTTTGAAGCTGATCGTTATGTCTGTTGACCTTGAAAGTCTTACGCTGCTTGCCATTTAACAAGCATAATTGTTTGCTGCATTTTTCTACTACCTTGCAGTTAGACCACCAGTTTATGCACATTTATTATTTTTCGACTGTCCGAGGGGGGAGGGTTTAAAAAGGAAGATAGGAGGGAGAGGGGAAAGAAAGGGGAAAAGAAAGGTGGAGAAGGAAAAAAGGGTGGGGAAAGGGGGCTTAACGAAAACATGGAAATGGGAAAGGGGAAGCAGAGGGGAGAGGAAGGGGACAGGGAAAGAGAAAGGTGGGGAGAAGACAGAGGGGGCTCAGGGGAAAAAATAAGAGGGAGAGAGGGAAGGGGATAAGGGAGGGAAGGAAGTGGAGGAGTTTAAGGTGGAAGAAGAGGGAGGCGGGAGAGGGCAGATGTAGATTTGAGAAGGAGGGAATTTAAGGACTGAGAGGGGATGACAGAGAAAGGAAGAAAGAGGGGGAAAGGAAAAAAAGAGTGGAGAGGCGAAAGGTAGAAGGAGGAAGGTGAAAGGAGAGTTTTTTTCCGAGATTATAATAACAACAGCAGTAACAGCAATAGTAATAATAATTATAGCAATGATGCACTGTGAGATGTTTAAGATGTTTAAATAGGCAGTGATCATAGTTGGCATATGATTCTGTACAAACTGAAAGACTAGTATTTGGCGACTGCAATGCAGCCTCGTTAATAGGTTGCTGATTAAAAGTGAAACTGCCTCCTACTGCGAGAACTTACACGCAGACTAACAAAAGGTTTCTATTGTTTTAGTTCTTAAATTATTGAAGCACACACACACACACACACACATCAATATATATATATATATATATATATATATATATATATATATATATATATATATATATATATATATATATATATTTATACACACACACACACACACACACACACACACACACACACACACACACACACACACACACATATATATATATGTATATATATATATATATATATATATATATATATGTGTGTGTGTGTGTGTGTGTGTGTGTGTATGTGTGTGTGTGTGTGTGTGTGTATGTATATACACACACACACACATATATATATATATATATATATATATATATATATATATATATATATATATATATATAATAGAAATGGACAAATTATTATGCTGATTATCATCAGTTTTGAAAAGTAATAATATATATGATAACATGATTGCACATATTTATATAATATTTATGCTAATCATGCCTTTTATTATAAACCTATGCAATATATATTTTTAATTATCACAAAGATGGCTTCGATTATATCCAATATCTCCTCAAATATAACACTCCTAATATTATTAATTAAATACATGGCCTTTCGCTAAATCTGAGCACCGACACATACACATACACACACACACACGTACACACGCGCACGCACGCACACAGATCTCTTTCTCTCTCTCTCTCTCTCTCTCTCTCTCTCTCTCTCTCTCTCTCTATATATATATATATATATATATATATATATATATATATGTATATATATATATATATATATATATATATATATATATGTATATATATATATATATATATATATATATATATATATATATACATACACACACACACACACACACACACATATGTGTATGTATTATGTCTCTCTATTATGTATCTATCTTTCTCTCTCTCTCTCCGTTTATAAACAAATGAATATGTATGTATAGATAGCTAGATAGATAGATAGAGAGAGAGAGACAGAGAAACAGAGAGAAAGAGAAAGAGAAAGAGAGAAAGAGAGAAAGAGAGAAAGAGAGAAAGAGAGAAAGAGAGAAAGGGAGAAAGGGAGAAAGAGAAAAAGGGAGAAAGGGAGAAAGAGAGAAAGAGAGAGAGGGAGAGAGAGAGAGAGAGAGAGAGAGAGAGAGAGAGAGAGAGAGAGAGAGAGAGAGAGAGAGAGAGAGAGAGAGAGAGAGTGAGAGAGAGAGAGAGAGAGAAAGAGAGGGAGAGAGAGAGACATACATACATACATACATACATGCATATATATATATATATATATATATATATATATATATATATATATATATATATATATATGTATATATATATGCATATATATATATATATATATATATATATATATATATATATATATATATATACATATATATACATATATATATATATATATATATATATATATATATATATATATGTATATATATATATATATATATATATATATATATATATATATATATAGAGAGAGAGAGAGAGAGAGAGAGAGAGAGAGAGAGGGGGGGGGGGTGGACAGAGAAAGAGAATAGATTGTTATGTGTATAGACAGACCAACAGTAAGGTAGCTCAACAGATAAACAGATCTTTAATTGAATTTCCAAAGAATAACTTCATTTGCAGGTTACTCAACAACAATAACGTTTGTAAAAGCGTTTATTATAGATTCAAAATATTTTTGTCGATACATGCTTAATTACATAATAATATTGCACAGCCACAGCCAAACTACACTCTGTGGGGCTTAAGATATAATTATTCTATATATACACAAACACATCAGTTTTACCACAGGAAAACGGGCAAGATGACCCAATCGATGCATTCTGGAACTTTAGACTTGTTTTTCCAACTCAAATGATACAACCTGCCTATAGATACTACAGTCAGCAACTGAGCAAAATTTCAACATTAAACTCTTTTTGTTTCTTTTTTTTTTATCAAACAATTTAACGAGGAGAGAACATCATAAGAGTCTTTAGTTTGCGAAGCCCTTGTGGAGTCATTACTGAATACCTATCTGCTTACCTATCGATTTATCATTTAATATAATTTGGTTTCGATTGTGTCATCCGTAATAACAAATTACAATATCGTTCTACCGCATGTATTCAGTTGGTACTCGAGAACAAGGTTAAGTAAAAATACTCAAGCAACACCTCGAAGGATTTTACCCTATCTCCAAACCAATTCACCTTATTTCTTTTTTTTCTCTCACTATAACCTACACACATCATTATATTATTATCTTAAACACTTTCATATCTAAACACACACATATATATATTCCATCGTATTCACTTCCAAAGCACCTACGACACACACCACGCGCCTCCCCCTAACTGAGCTTGATGAGAGAATCCATGAGGATCTGCATGTTACAGCTCATCTCGCGGACCAAGCTCTGGATCTGGGGTTTCGAGTCGAGGATTTCCACTGACTGCGTGTAGGGGTTGTAGCGGACGGTGAAGGGCCGGGGGATTGTGGCGGCGAATTGGCTGTTGGGGAGAGAGAGAGAGAGAGGCAGGTGAACAAAAGGTTTGAAGATTTCCGTGGATTTTGTTTTTTTTTTCTCCTTGGATTGTTATTATTATTATTTTCTCTGTCTATTTATATATTTCTATTACGTGGTGATGGGTTATTTGTTCCTCCCTGGCTGTCAGGGAGAAAGAAAGGCGATTATATGGTTAAGGTTTGCTTTTTATCTAGAAGTATTGTTGCCCCATTTTTGAGATACATCTAACATAACGGCATTACACCCCCTCTTTAATACTTACCGTTACCGTTCCTAAATCCCTCCCATTCATGAGCACAGAACCCGCCCTGAACAACACACACACACCACGACACCTTAAATCACACTCACATTAACTTCTGCTTGGCGTCCTCGAAGCTCTCGGACACGTAGTACACCGGCTGGTACTCAGTGATCGGGTACTTCTGCAGGCATGTCTTTGAGGGCTCGAACGGCCTCAGCTCGGGCTTGTCGGAGATGCAGTATTCCAGTTCGCCGAAGGAGGAGAGTAGGCCGGCGCCGTATGCCTTAATTTCTCCGTTCTGTCGACACAGCCCGAACTCCACCGTGAACCAGTAGCACTGCGGGGGGGAGGCGACGGTGAAGTTGGGATGTTTGGTTTGGCATTTTTTCTTATTATTATTTTTATTATTATTATTTTCATTATCTTTCTCGCATATTCATAATCATAATATATTAATTTCAGAATTTCATTCTATATTTTTCTGGAAAATACACACCCATAGTATTACAAATTTTAGTTATACGTTACATGACGATTGAGCAAAAATGATCCTAATTGTTGACTTAATGATATCTCAGCCTATCCAGCACACAAGCCAGGAACTCACGGTGGCAAGCTTCTCGATGAACTCGTCGGGGGCGCCGAGCGAAGCTAGGCCGATCTCCTGGGAGAACTGTGCGAAGGCGGGGTCGGCGAAGAGGGGGGCGTGGCCTAGCAGCTCGTGGCAGATGTCGGGCTCGGGCGTGTACAGAGGGCGGCTCGGGTGGCGGATGTACTGCGTGGAGTGGAACACGCGGAAGGCGAGGCCGGCCAGGAAGTCGCGCGAAGAGAGGAGTCCGGCCACGGGGCGCAGGGTGAAGCCTGTGCAGTCTGGCGAATAAGGATTTCTATGATAACGATGGATAATAGGATATATATATATATATATATATATATATATATATATATATATATATATATATATATATATATATATATATATATATATATATATATATATATATATATATATATATATATATATATATATATATATATATATATATATATATATATATATATATATATATATATATATATATATATATATATATATATATATATATATATATATATATATATATATATATATATATATATATATATATATATATATATATATATATATATATATATATATATATATATATATATATATATATATATATATATATATATATATATATATATATATATATATATATATATATATATATATATATATATATATATATATATATATATATATATATATATATATATATATATATATATATATATATATATATATATATATATATATATATATATATATATATATATATATATATATATATATATATATATATATATATATATATATATATATATATATATATATATATATATATATATATATATATATATATATATATATATATATATATATATATATATATATATATATATATATATATATATATATATATATATATATATATATATATATATATATATATATATATATATATATATATATATATATATATATATATATATATATATATATATATATATATATATATATATATATATATATATATATATATATATATATATATATATATATATATATATATATATATATATATATATATATATATATATATATATATATATATATATATATATATATATATATATATATATATATATATATATATATATATATATATATATATATATATATATATATATATATATATATATATATATATATATATATATATATATATATATATATATATATATATATATATATATATATATATATATATATATATATATATATATATATATATATATATATATATATATATATATATATATATATATATATATATATATATATATATATATATATATATATATATATATATATATATATATATATATATATATATATATATATATATATATATATATATATATATATATATATATATATATATATATATATATATATATATATATATATATATATATATATATATATATATATATATATATATATATATATATATATATATATATATATATATATATATATATATATATATATATATATATATATATATATATATATATATATATATATATATATATATATATATATATATATATATATATATATATATATATATATATATATATATATATATATATATATATATATATATATATATATATATATATATATATATATATATATATATATATATATATATATATATATATATATATATATATATATATATATATATATATATATATATATATATATATATATATATATATATATATATATATATATATATATATATATATATATATATATATATATATATATATATATATATATATATATATATATATATATATATATATATATATATATATATATATATATATATATATATATATATATATATATATATATATATATATATATATATATATATATATATATATATATATATATATATATATATATATATATATATATATATATATATATATATATATATATATATATA